CCTGAAATGTCCCTCCAAGACCCCAGCAATGGCTAATCTTGGTGGTTAACTTGACACACCTAGGAAGAAGGAGCCTCAGTTGAGGAATTACCAACATCAGATTGGCCTGTAGGCACAAGTCTATGAGCATTTTGTCCACTGCTAACTAGTGTGGGGAGCCTTGCCCACTGTAGGCAGCACTATCCCTAGGCAGGGCCCGGGGCTACTGTATGAGACAGCCAGCAGAGGGCGGCAGAGTTAGCTCAGTAGCTAAATGTGCTCATTGCTCTCTCAACACCCACAACAGCCACTCCACAGGATCTGATCCCTTCATCTGATGTCTTCAAGCTCCTACACACATGGTGCACATACACACACACACACACACACACACACACACACACACACACACACACAAGTAATTCTCTTAAAGGGATGGAGAGTTGACTAAGCAGTTAAGAGCATGTATGACACAATCATCTCTAACTCTAGGTCCTGGCAATCCAAGGGCTTTGTGGGCACCAGGCATGCACGTGTTGTACATGCAGGCAAAATACTCATATGTATCAAATAAATCTTAAAAATATAAAAGAAAGCTAGCAGAAAGAGCCTAGGACATCAAGCCATTGAGCAGCCTTGCTCCATGTCCCTGCTTTGGAATCCATCCCTTGATGATGGATTCTAACCTGTAAGCTGAAATAAACTCTTTGTTCCTTAAGTTCCTTTTGGTCATGGCATTTGTCCCAGCAATGGAAAGTAAACTAGAACAGCCCTGTGTTGAAGGTTTGCTGCCCCGTGTGGCAACACTGGGAGAGACCGTGGTTTGTATCTAAGATATCTCCCAAGGGCTCATGTTTTAAAGATGAGGGCTCCAGCATAGTGCCCTCGGGGAATGGTGGAAACCTTAAGAGGTGGGGCCGAGTCAGAGGTTTATGATGTCGGGGATCCCTTCAAAAAGGATCGTGGCGTTCCACCCCATCCTCCCTCATGAACTGTGCATGGGGGAAGGGTTTTTCCTAGCTCTGCTTTTCCTGCCATAGACCTGCCCATCATCACATGCTGTCTTGCCACAGACCCAAAAGCAAGAGGCCCACCAAGCCGTGGACCAAAATCTCCAAACTGTGAGCCAAAAGAAACCTTTCCGTTTGGAAGTGAAGTCACTCAAGGATTTTGATCCAGGAAAGGGAAGCTGACTCACACAGAAGATGGGGTCTGTGTGAGTTTTAAGAGATGGGGCCTGATGGAAGGTCTTGAGGTTGTTGGCAACATGCCCTTGAAGGGGTGCTTGAGACCCTGATGTCTGTCTTCCTGTTTCTGTTTGGCTTCCTGGCCATGAAGTGAGTGGTTTTACTCCATGACATACTACCTGACCCCAGCACCAAGTGCAAGGGAGCCTTATCAGTCACGGGACCAAGTTAAGTGTTTTCTCTTTGGAAGTCAATTATCTCGAATACTTGAGATTTTTGTTTATTTCTTTTTGTTTTGTTTGCTGTCCCAGGGGCGGAACCTAGACCCTTGTGCATCCTAGGCAAGTGTGCTCTACCACTCAGTCAGTTCTATCTCCAGCCCCGGGTATCTGATGTAGTAACAGAAAGCACAGCAGGACAAAAGCACAGATTGGAGAAGGCAGGTGACATCACCTGGTGCTCCTGAGGGCGTGGTAAGGCAGGGAGTGTTACATACTGTTGGTGGGGGTGTGATTGTGAGTGCATTTTTTTTGGAGACAGTATATTAGATATTAATAATATTTAGATGTTATTAAACAACTAAATTGCACACACATACTCTGTGACACAGCAATTTCACTGCCAGGAATTCGTTCTATAAATTTGCAAACACGCAGAGGTTTGTGAGCAAGGGCATTCATGCAGCATTGTTTGTAACATAAAATCGTGGAAACAAATGTCCACCTACCAGGGCCAACTGAGCGGTAAAATACAGATAACGTGATAAAAAGAACGAGTTCTGCACGTGCAGATATGGGGAGCTGTACAAGATAAACTGAAAGCAAATTACGGAAGAGTCTTGTGGTACGATCCTGTTTGTGGCTTTCTGATAAAAACTGCTCCTGTGCCTTTGATCGAAACATCTGGAATGATGCATGCACACACATAAACTACCAACCCTGGCTACCGCTGAGGGACCTTCACTCTGTAATTTTTACATTTTTCTCTGTTGCTCTGAATTTACTTTCATGAACATGTGTTACTTTTAAAACATAAAGAAACAAGTTAAAGAAGGAATAAGGGACCAACGCGGGGGCAATTTATCAAAAGGGAAGGAGGAATTACTGAATTTATCACTAGGAGGCAAACTCAACGAGAGGGCCAGGGGCTGCAGGGAGTCGGGGAGGAGCTGATAGACTTTGGCAACATGGGCTTGCTGCTCTCGCCTGCTAAGCTGGGACTCCCTGGGGCTTAAACAGTTCTGCTGTAGGACTTCCAGCAACATGGCGAAGAGCAGAGGGTGGTTTCCTTCCCCACTAAGAGCAGATGGCTCAGCTGTCCAAGCACAGACGGAGGAAATGCATTATAGCCAGAGCCACTGGCAGGGATGTGCACCCTGAGAAAGTCTCCGATCAGCTGAAACAGAGTGCAGTTAGCTTTGCCAACCTCCGTCCAGCTAATGGCAGGACGGAGCTCTAGTTTGATTTCCACCAAGTCCTGGCACAAGAGTCCTAGAACAGTGGAGATGATGGCAGAGCTACAGGCATCCTGCTAGAGTGGGAGGAAGGAATCATAACTCTGAGTCAGGAATGCACCAGGAAAGGACAAGCTTGTAGAATCCCAGAATATTCGAGAAGTTACTAGACACCAGGACATCTGAGTCCTTAAGTTTTAAATTAATGATATCCTGATTTCATTCACTCACCTGAAAATGAGTTCTTCCTGTGTGCAAGACACAGGAAATAATAATACACCAAGCAAGATAAACACAGAATTTATTAGGTTGAATTAAATGAAGATACAATAGTTAATATCCAATATTTGGGAGCCCACAAAAATGGCAATTTCTTCTGGATTGGTGTAAATACATTCTGACAGAGAAAAAGAAAAAAAAAAATCGGTTGCCCAGGTAATAGCTTAATTACAGTTGTGAGAAAGAACAGCAACAGAGCGATCAAATTGGATCCAGTGTGTGTGTGTGTGTGTGTGTGTGTGTGTGTGTGTGTGTGTGTGTGTGTACACGTGCACCTGCATGTTGGCAGTCAAGAAAGACTTTCCTTTAAGAGTTAATTCTCAGGGAATAAGGATGGGGAGATTTAGCGAAGGAGACAGATTATTTCAGACCAATTCAGGTGCAAAAGTACTGGAAGGGTAGGAATCTGGAATGTTCCAGAGACTAAGACAAGAAAGGAAACGCAGCCAGCAGAGGAGGTAAAGAGGTCCCAGGGGAACAGGAGCCAAATCAAGCAGGGCCTTGTAGGCCACATTAAGGATTTGGGGTTTTATCCCGAGAGGTATCCAAGACAACTGGCACACAACTTACATCTCAAAGCTGGTAAAACTCCAGGGGCCATGTAGGACTCAAACAACGTTCCATCCCCGTGAGGGCCTGCTTTTTGGTCCTGTTGGGGTTTTGTTGCTTTACATATATTGTGTCTCTCTCTCTCTCTCTGTGTGTGTGTGTGTGTGTGTGTGTGTGTGTGTGTGTGTTCAGAGGACCACCTGAGGAAGTCCGTTCTTTCCTCCCCCAGGAAGGTTTGTGCTGAGGCGCCCGCCATGCTGGCAGCAAGTGCTCTCACTTACTAGCTGTCTCCACGGCCCTGGCGTTGATGTTGTTAATGGAGCCAGGCTCTAACACTGTAGCCCAGGCTGGCCTTGAACTCGCAGCAATTCTCCTGTCTCTGCCTCCCGAGTACTTTCACCACCACAACCAGGCTCTCACCCCACTGTTTGTGCCCCACATTCATGGCCACACAACTACACCAATAGTCAGGGGCACTTAAGAATTGACATTTAAGCAGGGAATGGTGGTGCGCACCTTAACCCCAGCATTTGGGAGGCAGAGGCAGGTGGATCTCTGTGAGTTCGAAACCAGCCTGGCCTACATAGTGAGTTTCAGGACAACTGGGGATATGTAGAAAAACCCTGTCTTCCGAAAACGAAAATAAAACCACAACAAAATAAGACAAACAAACAAAAACCAAGAGTTGGAATCTATGTCCTTCCACCCTGAATCCTAGCAGGATAATGGCAGTAGGGCCGTGGCAAGCAGTAGGCCAGGGCTTTCCTAGATAGGAGACTGAGGAGGTGGAGGTGGCCCAGGTCTCCAACCAGTAGCACCACGAAGCTGTAGATTGACCACGTGCAGGCTGAGCATCTGCAGGACATCCACCGTGGAGCCGAAGCATATACTGAGCTATGGAGGAACACCGGCCAATGTCAGCCAGTTCATTCCAGGGGCAGCTGCCAACACCAACATCCCTTAAACCGAGGAAGAGGTCACAGGAGGCCTAGCCACCAAAAGTCCTCCCTCACATTCCTTCCCACGTCAGTCCCCTCTCCCTCTGTCCTTTCTAGGAAGGAACTCTGGAGGCAAGGCCGTCTGTAAGAGAAGGCACCTGCTGCTGAGGACATGAAGGACAGGGTGGGTTCCAGAGTTCTTGCTGACAAGCTGTGGGAAATGAGAAAGAGGCAGGAGTCCCAGAGAACGTAGCTCTTTCTGACCTTGGTGACTGGGAGGAGGGAGGACCCTCACAGGGAGACTACAGGTCAGACATGTAGAGGCACAGCTATGTGATGGAAGACTACTCTGACAAAAGCCTTTCAGCCCTTCCCAGAAGATCAGTGGCAAGGGGGCAAGGCAGAGGTGGGAGAATGGTCCTGTGCTGTAGGGACTCTGGACAGGCCTATGCGCGGTGACCTTGCGTCTGCTCTGGTGACATCTTCTCTGGGTGTACTCCAAAACTACCTGAAGCACCTTTGGGAGGACTGAAAAAGCTTCACAGCCTTCAGGCCTCCGAGGAAGTTCTGTGTCAGACTCAGAACTTCGGATAAGAAGCAAGAAGGACACAGGTCTGGGAATCACACACATTTATTTGCCGTGAGGTCCTGGGCTAATTTCTCAGCCTGGCCGTGATTGTCTTTGCTGCTGTAAAATGGAGGTTTAACTACCCCATGGGGATATTTGAGGAGAGAACAAGTAAAACTCTGAGTCTTGTGGCTGACACTGGGAAGAGACTTAATACCTTACCCTCTGTCCCTTCGAGGCAACACACGGATAAATGCACAACACCCACACAAGCACTCCACACTCAGCACAAAAATATCTAGGTGGCGCCTCACCCTCTTCCTAAGGGGTGTGCACCTAAGCCAAGGTCCTCTTGCTGTTTCCGACACATACATATCCTCTCAGCTCCTGAACTCAATCTCTTTTAGTGTCAAAATCTGCATGTCTGCCCTTGAGCCTGCCTGCCTTGGCTCTGGTCCCTAGAAGTCCCCCGCCCCAAACCTCTCGCTGTCATGCCACATTATTCCTTTTCCTCACTGCTCTCGTTGCTCCAGCTTGCTCTGGGATCCTGGCTTTAGGAACCTGAAGCTGTGCCAGATCCCCTCCCTCACATACACCAGCCTCTCCTATGTCAGTCCCACAATGTGACGTGAAGAACGGGCTCAACAGCTAGCCAGGGAAGGACTCACATGTGGTAGCTGCATGCTGGGTTTGTAGGGGCACTGCGAGGACCCCGGGATCTGGGAGTGCCTTCCGGGGACAAGAGGAGGCCAACCGACTGGAAGTTGTCCTGAGCTCTTAGACTTCTGCTATGGCCTCCTGAAGCTTGGCTCCTTGGGCTCCTCAAGGCACTGCTGGGGCTCAAGATGCTTCAGCTGCTGTCAATCAAACTGCTTCTCGACACCAGGTGACTTATCCATTCTTCCAGCACCCTGCCTCTCCCACAGGTGCTGGGCCAGCCCCACAACCATGCTTTGGAGTCCATAATTACTAATCTGCCTTGGAAAACAGGATCCCTCAATGCCAGCTGCAAGAGGGGAGGTAAAGCATGAGACTGGAGCTCCTGGCGTATGTATCCGCTTTCAAAGGCTCTAAAATGTTCACACACACTGCCGGTTCTGGAAAGTAAGGAAGAGTCGATCACACTGCGTAGGCCATCCCAGGTCTTGTGCCTGTAAATTTTCATCTTGGCAGCTGAAGCACTGAAAAAAAAAAAAAAAACCTGAGTTCTGCACTCAATCAGGCCTGAGTTCTAGTCTCCACATAGGCAGTCTTTCCAGACCCATATTCTCATTAGTAGAACAAATAGAGACTGAATAATAGCATTTGATGAGCACTTAGTATGCACCAGGCTGTGTTTTCTGCCATTTTCCATATTCTGTAAGTAAACCAAGAAAAAAACACACATCATTAACACCCCCTGCCCTTCTTGGTGATGAGTATGGGTAAATTTTTGTCAGTCTCAGTCCATTTTGGGAATTCCATTGTTCTTATCAGCAATTGATTTAAGGATGGATATATAACTTCATCGTGGCCAATTAGACACAAGGGATGATCTGGGATTTTCCAAGAGAGCATCCCATTCTCTATTTACTCTTGGATAGCATGTGCAAATACACCGCCTGAAGCAACTGCAGCTATTTCTCAACTCTAAAGACAGTAGTCAGTACACTGAAAGCTGAAACTATGTTGTTTTCTTTAAGCAGCCCAATTAACCAACACGGAAACTAAGTCATCTCTGGACCCCTTGAGAGAGGGTGGGAGGGAGGGAGTATAAGAGAATGTGTATAGCACAGAGCATGTGGGGGTCAGAGGACAATCTCCCAAAGTTGGTTCTCTCCTTCCACTATGTACTTCCTGGGTGAAACTCAGGTCATTATCCAGAATCATCTCACCAGACCCCTGTTAATATTGTGACACCGTCACATAATTTATGAACTATCTATCCATTGATCTATTTCTCTACCCTTGCTGTAGATGGAATGTATCACTGTGATTTCAGACACAAGATGATCCAACAAAGAATTATAAGCTGGCTGGCCTGGGATTCGTGCAAGTGAGGGCACAGCAGGAACTACCATTCAGTACTGAGCATGAAATAATACAACTTTCACCTGTGTGTTCCCTAAAGCTAATATTCCTATACCCAAAGCATCTTATAGGTGGGCAGCTAAAACATGTGCAGAAACACCAGCCTGCCCTACTACAGGCCTGCTGTGGGATGTCTTTCTGTATGCTGTGAATGTGTGTTGCTGATTGGTTGCTAAATAAAGCTGCATTGGCCTATGGCAAGGCAGCTTAGAGGCAGGTGGAAATCTAAGCAGATAGAGGAGAGGCAGAGAGATGCCAGCAGACCGGTAAGCCACAGAACATGTGGCAAATATAGATTAATAGAAATGGGTTAATTTAAGTTATAAGAGCTAGCTAGCAAGAAGCCTGCCATATGCCATGCAATTGATAATATAAGCCTCTGTATTTTTATTTGGGTCTGAGTGGCTGAAGGACCAGGCAGGACACAGGAAAACTTCCAACTACACAGGCCTATAATCTCAGCTACTAGAGAGGTTGAGACAGGAAGATTTAAGTGCAAATCTTATTTAAGCTACAAAGTTCAAGGCCAACCTAGGCAACTCAGTGAGATCTTGTTTTGGAACAGAAACAAATAGGGGTCAAGCTCAGGAGTACTGTGTTTGCCTATCATAAGTGAGATTGTGAGTTCACACTCCAGAACCGCAAAATATAAATTCTTTTCCCTATCTTCCCTCATGGGAGAAACATCACACCCCAAAAGGACTCCAGTGGACTCAGGCAAGGATGGTCTGGGGACATGACACTAGGTGTCCTAACATTTTTCCCATGAGTGATCACCCCCTCCTTCCCTCCCCCTCACCCCCATTCTCTCTCTCTCTCTCTCTCTCTCTCTCTCTCTCTCTCTCACACACACACACACACACACACACACACACTAGCTGTCCCCCCACATACACTCAGGCGTTCAGGGATGCTGGACTAAGAGCCACACCTCACCATTTCAGCAGGCGCATGTCAGCTCTGCAATTGTAAAATAGAGAAATGGCAAGAAATCTCTCGAGGGACTCAGGTGAGCACAGGCAGAAATCAGACACTTAGACTCTGCAGTTTCAACATGTAAATTTTAAAGCATGCTTTAGATGTGAATGCTTTTTGAGACAGCACCCTTATTTCTTGGGAAAGGAAATAAATATGCAGAAGCAATTTACTATGAGTTTTACTTAAAAAAAAAAAAAAGAACCCAGGTATTCTTCATGGGCAGGATTGGAAGTAGAATAAGTAGAAAACATCCTTAAAAAATATTTTTATTCTATATGTATAAGTGTTTTGCTTTCATATGTATATATATACACACATATATATACACATCTATATATATACACACATGTATATGCACATGGTACGCATATATACAGATATATGTGTATACATCTGTGTGTCTGTGTGTACCATGTGTATGTCTGGTGCTCCAGGATGCCAGAAGATGATGTCATGTGGGTGCTGGAAACTGAACCCTGGTCCCTTTGCAAAAGCAGCAAGTGCTCTTACCACCTTGGCCACCTTTTCATCCCCAGTTACAGGCACTCCTAGAATAGAGTACTTAAAGCCACTAACATCGATAAAAGTAAAAGGGAATGTTAAAGAACACTGGATCTTCTTTTCTTCTGTTCAGATAAGATTACTCTGTATAGCCTTGGCTGTCCTGGAACTCACTATGGAGACCAGGCGGGCCTCAAACTCACAGAGATCCACCTGCCTCTGGCCCCTGAGTACTGGGATTAGCATGTGCTACCACTGCCTGGCAGAACACTGGATCTTAACAGCAGACAATAAAACAGGCTATACTGTCTCATTTTCATTAAAAAAAATTAATCTGTATACAATCATAAAAAAGTCAACAGGTAGAGTTACACCAAATGAAATGATTATTTATGTATGGGGAATTAGAATTTGGGTTGGTTTTGGTTTCTTTTCTGCTTATTTCCTGTTTTCACATGACACGAAGAATGCTAATACCCCACTCAAAACAGGGCAACATGGTTATGAGGGGAGAATGGGACCTAGACAAGGTACCTCTTTTACACTGAATGACTGTGGACCTAACAAAGTGGTAGACACTGTCGTGCGACTGTTCCTGCTGTGGTAAATGCATGAAGACTCAGTCCCCAGACTTCCAGACTGCACCAGGAATCTTCTTGCTACGGCGGCGTCTGACCACCCTCTTAGTTCGAGCTAAGAACTGGCAGGTATCCAGCAGCAGCAGCAGCCCCAAACAGACAACAGCTGGGATGTAGGTCCTCAGCGACTCTTTCAGAACCACCAAATTGAAGATGGCCCCTAGAACAGAAAGAACGAACATCCAGAAGATCCAACAACTCAGGAGTTCCAGTCCAGGCCGACCCATTCCAGCTCGGGCCCTCCCACTAAACACCCCTCACACCTCTTCCAGGAAGCAAAGAATTAGAAGACCCAAGAAATACATAGGCCCCAGAAGAGGGGAGAGTCAAGGTGGGAAGATAGGGATATGGAAACTAGCTTTCCCCCAACTCTTTCTTAATAATAATAATCCTACTGGTTCGGGGGGCTTGAGGTGGAAGTGTGGTAGTGATCTGAAAACGTGGATGACTTTAGAAATGGCAAGAATGTTTTAGTGGCAGCACAAGAGTGTCTAGCCTCTGACCCAGCAGCTGTCGTCCTGCCGGGACAGGTACTTCTACTGGCAGAACTTCTGCGAGAGTGCGTCCTAGAGAAACTCTCTGCCTCCTTGGTCAGGGGACTCCAGCTTTCCTGCCTGCGGCTCCCACATCTGTAAGGGCAGAACTTCTGAGAGAGTGCGTCCTAGAGAAACTCTCTGCGTCCTTGGTCAGGGGACTCCAGCTTTTCTGCCAGCTGCTCCCACATCTGTAAGGGCAGAGGTTCTCAACCTGTGGGCCATGACTCTATTTGGGGGTCGAATGACACTTTTACAGGGGTCACCTAAGACCAAGGGAAAACACGGATGTTTACATTACGATTCATAACGGTAGCCAAATTAGAGTTATGAAGTAGCAATGAAAATAACTTTATGGTTGGGGGGGGGTCACCACAGCATGAGGAACTGTATTAAAGGGTCACGGCGTCAGGAAGGTTGAGAACCCCTGCTCCAGACACATGTACATTAGGTGGTAGCTGCTGCTCCGCTCCCTCCAGGAAGTGAGCATGTAGGAGGAGGAGGAGGAGGAGGAGGAGCTCTTGAGGTTACACTACGGACTCACACTATGCGGCCACAGAAATGATGGGGAAAGCATGCTACTGTGTTACAATGGCCAGGATATGGTCCACGACATTTCAAAAACACCTGGTCTCAATATTATGGGAGCTACGCTCAGGCAGGAAGTGCTCCTGGTCCCAGAGGAAAAAAGAGAGCAGCAGTAAGGAAGGATGGCTAACTCTTCCTGTCATCCCCAGGAGACCCAGGTACCCCCTTACCCATCATGAGCAGGATCAAGAACTGGTTACTGATCACTTGGAGCGAAGGCGGACCCACGACCAGCAGCAACCCGGCCAGCACTTCCAGCCAGCCCACAGCTGTTTGGTAGTTTCTAGGATCTGGCTGGTAGCCGACCAACTTCAATGGAAACACCTCAGCAAACTGCTCGAACAAGGCTCTCTACGAGTGGCAGGGAATGCCTGTCAGCTGTGTTCCTCCGAGTGCAGTGCCTGGAGGCACCACAGAGACCACCTCTGCCTGTCATCAGCTCCCCTAACAAAGCCACAGGCCAGATCCAGGTTAAGGTGAGCCTGGTGAGGAGGGGGCCGCCCTACGACCTTTGGAATCAGGAGCAGACACTCCACAAGCGAAAAGGGTCACAGGGGTAGAGATGGCTTTCTCTCCTCACCAGACCTCTCCATAGATGACAGCCCAGCCTCAAATCCCTGGAAAGGGAACAGGGGTAGGGCCTGGGAAAGGCCACAGATCCTTTGTGCCAGGCCTGGTTCCTCTTCACGCGGAACATTTAGAGATGGGATGGAAAGGCTCCTTAAAGAATGGTTTCCACTTTCTCCTGTGCAGGTCCTGATCCCACTGTGGCACACACAAGCAACAGCCGAGGGGGTCTAAAGCAATCCATCGTACCCAGACCTTCCCCTGGGCCAGCCCCACCCTCGGGACTGCTTCCTACGGTCCACCAGCAGCTCTTTCTCCTACTCTGCACTCCAGTGGGTCTTCTGACACAATGTTCTCATCCACAAAGCTGCTCCAGAACCCAACTGGTTTTTAAACAAATCACGTTTTAAATTTACAGTTTTATGTCGGGCTACATTTGACAGCCATCCTGGAGTACATGTGGCCCAAGGGCCACCGATGGGACACACTTGCAGAGAGTTTAAGCTGTCTGGCTCTTACCATATCTGCCCCCTAAAACCCACCACCTCAGGTTGGGGGCGGGGAGGAGTATGCAAGCTTGGGAGGAGGTAACAGGAGTCTTCCGCAGAGCCTGGCAGTACTGGTGGACTTTCTCATGAAAAGGAACCACAGCCAGGTGACTTCCAGGACTCCATCCCAGATTTCCCGGGACGCTGTGGAGTCTTGGTTCGGTTAGTCTACTCACCTTTCGGCAAATTACATTTTACCTTCACGGCTAGCTTCCAAGCTTACGAAAGGAGATTTCTAAAGTGGTGCAAGCCGTTAATCCTAGCACTTGGGAGGCAGAGGCATGTGGACCTCTGCAAGTTCGAGGCCAGCCTGGTCTATATTGTGGGTTTTCTGCCTCATTAGCCTCCCCTAAACCGGAACATTGAGTGATGAGTGTAGGATGGGGAGGGGTGCTCAGTCACCTTCCCACTTCATCCTCCTGGACCCCTGGGTCCCATCATTTCTCCAGCTCTAACTTGGCCTGGGGACAGCATGCTGGGCCAAAAGTCTAAGTCCCGCCTCCTCCCACCTGGAGAAGGTGCGGAGAACTCGAGGGAAGGCCTAGGCGCCCTCGCGCCCGGAGGCAAGCAGCCCGCGGGAACCGAGCACTCCCGTCCTTCCCCGCGCGCCCCTGCCGCGCCGCTCACCATCTGTTGTGACACGGGGGCCGAGACCTGCAAGAGCTTAGCAGCCCCGGTGAGCGCGAAGAAGAGGCCGAGCAGGAGACGCAGGGTGCCGAGCACGAGCGCCATAGCAGCGTATGTCTCCGCCCCCGCCCTCCGGCCCGGAAGACCGCAGTCGCCCTGCCCCGCCCACCCTGTAGGCATCCAACTTCCAGACCCGCCCACTTCCCCGCCCCGCCCAATGCCCCCACCTCGACCAGCCGACTTGAGGCCTCCCCTCTGTAAGCCCGAGCTGGCGGGCCGGTCGTGGCCACGTGACCCGGCCTTTGGGCCGACCCGTGCGGGAGGACTCTGACACCACCCAACCTCTGGGTTTGCTTCTGTAAGGAAGTTGCACACTGACCTTCAGAAAGTGACTTGTACATCTGTGAACCATACAATTAATGCGCAATAACGCAGTGAACAGTAACTACAAGTTTTTCTTGTCCACCTATGCCTAAAATATCTGCCCTTCTCATCGCTAAACTGAAATAAAAATGTGAAAGATGTTTAAAGATTCACTTACTTACTTGCCTGGATCAGCAAACAAAGGGCCAAATTTGGCCAATTGTTGAGTATTTTAACAACACCAAAAAGGAAAATATTAATAACATTAGTAATAATAATCTAAAAATGATTCAACAATGTTCAAGGAATTTTCACAATAGCTGGAAATTATATAAAAATAACATATTGATCAACAGTACGTTTGTATACCGTCTGTGACTGAGCCACAGAATACTTACTGACCTTCTGTGAAAGTCGGCTACAGCCAAGAGTGATGGAACACACCTGTAATCCCAACGCTGGTGAGAATGAGGCCTGGAGCTCATGGCAAGAACTAGGAGTCTGGCGTTGGTGACGCCAGCCTTTAATCCCAGCACCCAGGAGGCAGCGGCAGGTGGATCTTGTGTGGGTTCAAGGCCAGCCTGGTCTACAGGCTCCAAAGCTACATAGTGAAACCTTGTCTCAAAAAATAAAACAAAACAAACAAAAAAGGAACCAGGCCAGTGACTACATTGCAAAGCCCAGTCTCCAATAATAATTAAAAAAAAAACCCAAGCCCTGGCCTAGAAGAAGCCCCCAAATTATGGCTTCAGACACCCCTGCTGCTTCTCCTTCCGGCTGGGAACCTGCTTGGCTCTGCTTTCCATCTATACATAGCTTTCTGAGGGCTGACGACCTGGCTAAAACTTCTCACGTTTGTTTAAACGCAAACTCAACAGTGAAGCCGTGCCATGATGCTGGGATGTGGCCTTCGGCACGTGCACACTTAGTCGTAAAGGAGAGCACTGGTTGCTGCCCTAACTTAACTCTGTTTTGTCCCTCTTTAGCTCTGTTTGGCCACTTTTTTAACTGAGTCACTTTCTCCTGGAATTACCTTGAATTCTGGGAAAGGCAGAACTGACCCATAAAACATAATGTACAGTGAAGGACCAAAACTAGCCCCAAGCAACAGGGAGCCCGGCAGGGCAGGTCACACTTCAAATGAGGGCAACTGCCATTATGGGGAGGCTGTACCCTGGAGCAGTCATCTCACAGAGACCAGACTGCTCCCCCAAAGTGAGGGCAGTGGGAACTTCTCCAGTAAGATTACTAGCCTCACCAAGAAGACCCTGTCAGGCACACCCCAACCCTCCACTGTTTCCTTTTTCTATGATAGCTCAAAGTCCACATTAGCCCCTTCAAGACTAAGGTGGGAGCCCGGCATTGTGTTGAACACCTTTAATCTCAGCACTGGGGGGTGGGGGTGGGGTGGACAGAGGCAGTGGGATCTCTGAGTTCGAGGCTAGCCTGGTCTACATAATGAGTTCCAGGACAACCAGGGCTATGTAGAGAGACGCTGTCTCAAAGCACGTAACAAAACCAAGTGCTGAGGCAGGATCCCTGAATCATAACCTGTTCTTCTCAACCTGGTTCCGCCGACCCAATCTTTCTCTGCCCTTCACCATGGCTTACCTCTAACTTACGTACTGGGACAAGTGGGTTGGCCTGGTCTCTTGGGGAACTCCCTAAACAAGACGTTTCCTCTGAAACTCCAACAGCAATCTCCAATATAAAGGCTAAATTTTCTCCCTTGTGTTATTAAAATTACACATAATTATATTTAAGTTCCATAATTCTTAAATCCCTCTACAACAAAGGAAAAAATATTAAAACATTTAATCACTGAAAATACAAATACATTAGCAAATGTATTTTAGGATACTTATACAAAATTTAACACAAAATTAAAGACTCTGACAATAAGCAATATGGATACTACTCTTTCTCCTTTACTAACTTTTCTATCCTTGGAATTAATGATGTGACTGCAAGTCTCAGGGCAGGACCAAAACCCAGCAGGTTCCTTTGTTTCGATGCAGACAAGGCTGAAAAGGTGGCATCACACAAACAGACGGAGGAAAAGGGCAACAAGAGTTTCACTGCCTTTTCATGGAGTTCCGGGTGACTCGTCTTTGCGCTCACCCAAAACTGAGTTACAGACATTGATCTGTAAGCCGACTGTAAGCTCGTATCTGAAGACAATGCTGCTAGTTGTTCTTCTTCAGAGTCGGTGAGGTTGTTATTCTGGTGACTGGCAAAGGGATCAATGAGCCACAGATTTCCCGAACGCAAGTCCTCTTCTGGTGGGTAACAGTCATGGAAAATCTGACAAAGTCCTTCTAGGTGCTCAACAATAATGCTAGTGATGCTCCTCACACTTACATCTGATGAGTCTAAGAACTCAGAAAATAAAGGGAACATATCATAATCATTCTCTTGTGTGCGCTTCAACCATGTTTTTAGCTTCTTCTTAAATATGTCAACTTTATTATACAAATTGAAAAGAGTAGCCATGGTCCCTTGGAGACCAGAATTTAATTTATTTATAAGTGAAAACATATCTGCTAAATAGGCTAGCTTTGCAACCCATTCCTTGTCATGGAAATACCTGGCCAAATCTGAGTGCTTTTGATTTAAAAGTATTTCAATTTCATGTCTCAGTTCAAATAATCTTGTTAAAATTCTCCCTCTCGACAGCCAATGAACTTCAGCATTAAGTGGTAAATTCACATGCTCCGATCCCGTCTCTTCACACAAAACTGTCAACATTTGTGAATCTGAGGCACTGTTCTTTACAAAGCTTAAAATTTGTGCTGACTGCAAAAGAATTTCATGTAAGCATGGAGATAGTTTTTCAGCTGCTAAGTGCTCACGGTGAATAAAACAATGTGTGAATGCCACTGTACTCTTGGCAATTTCTTGAATTTTTGACTTTAAACGAGACCATCTACCAGTCATGCTTGTGGTCCCATCAGTACAGAGACCAACACAATGGTTCCAATTCAGAGATCTACTATCAATATATTTATTTACTAGTTCAAACACTTCAAGGTCTGTGCCCGGAGAGGACATCTCCGTACAAAACAGTAACTCTTCCTTCACATCACCACAGTCGTAGTCGATGAAGCGGACACAGCACAGGAGAAGGGTGACATCTGAGGCCTCTGGTGACTCGTCTATCTGAAGGGCAAACCACTTGGAGTCTCTGACCTTCTGAACCAGCTGGTCTTCGATATCTGCAGACAGTCTGTTGATCCTGCACCCAATTGTGTTAGCAGAGAGAGGGATGCTCTTCATTTTGTCCCCAGCACTTGAACCCAAAACTTCTGAACACATTTCTACTAAATACGGTCTAATTAATTCTTCAGCAACTGAGAACGGCTTCTTCCTGGCAGCAATTTGGAAAGCAATTAAATAAGAAGCTTTCACAAGTGACTCTTCAACTAGTAAACACTTTTTTAAAGAACTGTTTGGACATCCCATTTCAAGTGATTTTTCCTCAAAAAAGTCTATTGGCTTGTTCTCTAACTCAGAATGCTTTGCCTTCAAATGGTTAGAGAGACTTACTGGCATCACACTTTCTCTAGGTAAGATCTCTCCACAAATGACACACTGTGCTCTTGGTGAACTTTCCTTTGATCCAGAATGGATAATAAAACCAAATTTTATATATTCTGCATCATAAGTCTGGAAAAGGCCCATTCGTTTTTTCTTTGCAGGTGGAGAATCAGGTTCTTCATTGTTTCCATTTGGCAGAGGTAAATCTGAAGGAAATATTTGAATCATTGATGATATGAACGTGTACAATGATATGAACAACTGTATTATGAAAAACTGGACAAAGATCCATTAACATGATTGATTAACATTAACTTGACTCAATGCTGCCTATAAATTTTGAAAAGAACATTTAGGGGCTAGAGAACAGCTCAGTGGTGTGTATGGCACATACACATTACCTGGGATGTATGACACCCTGGATCCAATCCTTAGCACCAATACAAACCAATATGCTGCATATAAAATCTAAAGGCCAGCCAGGCGGTGGTGGCATACGCCTTTAATCCCAGCACTCGGGAGGCAGAGGCAGGCGGATCTCTGTGAGTTCGAGGCCAGCCTGGACTACCAAGTGAGTCCCAGGAAAGGCGCAAAGCTACACAGAGAAACCCTGTCTCTAAAAACAAAAAACAAACAAACAAACAAACAAATCTAAAGGCTAATCTTACGAGTTTGATTGTGCTATGTACACTAGCATCTATGTCCTTTGTTGGGGGTGGGGGTTTTGAGACAGTTTCTCTGTGCAGGCTTGGCTGTCCTGGAATTTGCTCTGTAGACCAGGCAGGCCTTGAACTCACAGAGATTCGCCTGCCTCTGCCTCCTGAGTGCTAGGATTAAAGGCATGTGCTACCACTACCTGGCTCTTAATGTAGGGGTCAGTGAGAAGGCTCAGCAAGCAAAGATACTTGTCACCAAACTTGACAAGGTCGACAGATGTAACAGATTCCACCAAATTGTTCTCTGACACCACATAACCACTATGACATGTTCCCATGTGTGTGTACACAAGCACACAAAAAATAAAATAAAAAAGAATCCCAGTGTATGGCTAGGAATGGTAGCACACTCCTATAATGCAGCACTTAGGAGCTGGAGGCAGGAGAATCAGGAGCTTAAGGTCATCCTCAGCTACATGTCCGGTCTGAGGTCTGTCTGTGATACCACATGAGACACCCATCTCAACAACAAACGAACAAACACAGTAAGGGAGGGGAGAGACGGACAAAGAAGAAAGAATCTCAGT